GCTGGACATCTCTGTTCCAAGGACAGAACAATTTGGTATCAAAGCTATGCATACATGATTATAAGACCCAATTTTTTTTAATTATAAAAATAATTCTAAATTTGCATATAGAACCTAAAGTTCATGATAAAATTTTGTTTGGAATTTTTGCAATTGATCTTGAAAACCTTGGGATTTTTGAAATTTTCTAACCATATGAATCTGAAATTTTTGGGTTTAATTACATGAAAGTTTAGAAAAAATTTCAATTTTTTCAATCGATACATTGAAATCTTAAATTGCTTTGGGGCTTTTGAGAAACAAGCTTTTAGTTATCTATTGACACAAAAATTGTTTAAAATTGTTTCCTATAGTGAAGGAATTTCGTTCATGAATGTATTGTTACGAAATATAGGGTTCATATTATGAAAATTTCAATCTTTCTTTAAATTGATATTGTTTCATTGATGTAAAACGAAAATTGGTTTGAGGATTTTAGTTCCGCTGTTATTTTTCCACTGTTTTATGTTGTTTTTAATACAAAAATCACATGTTTTGTGCCAAGAAAAACCGCGACTCATAGCTTGAAAAGTCACTCTTTAAACTTCCAAAATTTCTCAAAAATATGTTATTTTTGAGATAGATTATAAAATATCGTTGGTTTGTTGTTTCTGGGTTGTTTTGTAATTAAAATCGCTCAAAAATATGTTTTTTTTTTTAATTTTGACGAAGCTCCCATGGCGGAACCCAATTTCGAGCAGTCAACCTGCCAAAGGAAGAAGAAAACACTACAATAGAAGAATCTCAAGAAATCCTAGGGATTGAGGTGAGATTGTAAAAGAGGCATTCTATTTTATATTTTTCACTAAAAAGTCTCACGAAATCCACACCAATAAAAAATCTATTAAAATCGTCGAATTTTTGAATACCACGAGATTGTGATTCCATTGTTTAAAATCCTGATTAAATACAACCAACGAATTTGGACGGATTTGAAAATAATTCTTTAAAATCCTAATCGAATACCACATGACTTTTTTTCAATCAATTAAAATCCTAATAGAATACCAACGGATTTTTTTGTCCAAAAATAATCTGTTAAAATCCTTTGAAATCTCAATCCAATACACTCCCCTAAGTTTATATTTAAAGTCAGGAGAGATTATAGTTACTATCTCTTTTTCTTACTACTTCTCATTACTAAATTTTAATTGTTGATTTTCATCAATCTAAAAATTATAATTTATTAGGTCATATTTATTAATTAATTAATAATTCTCAATAAATTATAATCGTTGATGAAAATCAACGGTTAAAATTTGATACTGAGGCATAGTAAGAAAAAGAAATAATAAATATAGCCTCCCCTTAAAGTTAATAACAAATCCTTGATGTGATTATTTGTTTATGGGAAAAGTGTGTATAATTTTGAAGGATGTAAAGTTGTGTCATTTTAAGAGAGAGAAAGAGATAGATAAAGGAGGAGAGAGAGTTGACAAAAAAAAATAAAGTTGTGGGTCCCACCTCTTTGTGAGAGTGAAAGGATGTAAGTTGTGTAATTTAAAAGTATAGACACTTTTCCCTTTGTTTATTGTGGATTTAAAAAATAAAAGGAAATTGATTTTAAAATATTTTCTTTCCTTGTCTGTTTGGTTGTGAGTACGTTATACGGTTCCATCCCATGTACTGTTTATTTCACTTCGGATGCTGGTTACTGTCACTTTGGTAGTTAACATTACGATATATAATATACTTTAGGTGTACATCATTTTATTTTTGTAGCTCGCTTTATTTTTTTATATATTTACAAAATATATTCTATAACATACTTTTAGACATAAGATAATGTTTCATAATTCTGTGAAATAAAATTATTATGTCCTATTTTTGTACTTAAATATATGTGAAGTCTTTGAATTCTTAAAAAGTTGACAAAATCAATGAGGTTATTTGACTATCTTAAGTTAAAATGTATGTTGAGTAGTGAATTGGGGTTAAATTGATTTAATTTTAATCATGAATGATGTCTCAATTTGGTGTATATTAAGTTAAAGTGTAAGTTCATGACCCAAATAAGGACTAGGTTAATATGATTGGTGTCTGATTTTGGCTTGAAACTTTATAACATCGTTTTGGCAAGGAAATAAAATTATATTTTAAAGCAAAATTTGATCGTGGAAGTCATCCATATTTGAACTCGGCCTAAATATGAAAAACAAGCCAAAATGCTAACTGAACCAGCTTTGAGCTTAGATCGTGGGTTTTCTAGTTTGCTTGGTTAGGGTCATACGACTAGGTTAAAGTTTTAAGAAATAGCAAACGAAAAATTAAAGTGTTTTAGACTTGAGCCAGATTCGTTGGATATATAGCCCACGAGTAAAATTACGGGCTTCAGTAACAATACTTACTAAGAAAGCCGACAAAGTGGACAAAAAAAGTTCTATAAAATATTATTTGAATTATATATGAGATTATCAGTAATAAGTAAATGATATTATAAATACTGATTAAGTTCCATTACTAAATATTATGAACCAGTCCCTAAGCCCTATGATATCCATGCTTCGTTAATTAATATAAGACATAATAACAATTTAATCCTTACTTAGTATTAAATGCTTAACATTCAATCCCTTATTGCACCCTTACTTAATACTTAGTATTAAGTAACCAAATCTCACATAATCTGAACTCACTCATTGCACCCTCCGGAGAATACATCATTTATTCAGGGATAATATATTCTACTTATCTTTTTTTTTTTCAACCTTACCTACTCATTTTCAATACCATTAGATCAGAATCTCACTCTTTCTTTTTTCTCTTAATATTCTGATCCAATGGATTAAAAATAAGTAGTTAAGATAGGTAAGAAAAAAAATTGATAGAATAACTTATCCTTTTATTCAGATACTTCTTTTTGGTAAAATTTTATATATATATATATATATATATATATATATATATATATATATATATATATATATATGTTTTTTTTTTTTTATTCAGATACTTATCTCTTATGGTTCTTCATACCAAACTAGTACGTAGAATAACAGTCAAAGTTGGTTGTAAATCTGAACTGATTTTCATACCTTAGAACACTCGAGAGTGAATCAAGAAGCCAAACTGCTTCAGCTCAGCGGGGAGACTTATGGGGTTCATCCATGGAACAAACACAGTAGCAGATTGACAATAGAAGAAGGAAGTGTCATAGGAAGACTTAAATGAATATTAGATCACTGTGTCATTTGCAGCAACCATATATAAATTTCTTAGGTAATACTTGTTGACAAGAAAAAAGGTGGAGATTTCATCAACCAAGTGGATTGTGTTACTGTGGAACTAACCTGCTGAAGAGAAAGGCTCTCAAGAGAAGGAATTCTCTTTTGAATACCAGTTTTTTTCTTCTTCCCAATGTACATAAAACACTGATTGTAAATCCCAAGTAGCTCAGTAAGTAGTGAAGAAACTCTCTTCCAAAACAATGGTTTTGTTACGTTGACCATTTCAATCATAACATAACGGTGTTTAAAATCCAAAGCAGGATCTAAAGTTTCCCCTACTGACCTTAGAGGTCTCCACAATCACAGTGCAACTGCAATTGCGGCTGCATCACCTGTATTTTCCCACGGTTTTTGTAATTGGAAACCCAAAGCAACCACAACAGTAACAGTAACTTAAAACCATGAATCAGTCTAAACCTTAGTCTGAATCTAAATCTTCCCCATTTTCACAAAGCTAAATCCTAGCAATCTCCTAAAAGTGTTTTTCCTAGTCAGTTTGTGATTGCCAATTCCGGTATTTATAATCGGAGAGCCGAAATCTCCAACCATACATAACAGCTCTTTGAGGCTAAACCACTTTCTCTATCAGTTCAAGACAAACAGGTGGATTCAATCTGCTTTGATCAGCACACAAGGATCCTGGAATTTACGCTGAGTCATTGTCCCTCTCTTACAAAGCCAACTCTCCCAAAAGCTTAAGTCATTGGGTGAAGTCACATGAATGATTTTATTATATCTCGACACACTCCTTCACACGAAAACCATTTGGACTTTGAAGCATAAATAATGCACATGCCCATATTTTTGGTTTACATTGTGCTAAAATTTTAACTTTTTTATTAGAAAATGGTGGTAGCAAGAATCGAACTCTAAACCACTTAGTCATAGGATCTAATACCATGTCACGCCACAAATCTCCCAAAAGCTTAAGGCATGTGAAAGGTTTTATTATATCTCTTGAAACCCTTAGAGATACGGGCTTTATTATAGATGAGCCGCTATAATACTCCAAATGGTTTGCCACTATTTCAAATAATCTCCTCAGGGATGTGTTTCCTCCTATCATGAACTGTAACAACCTTCTACTTTCATGAGCTAAGGAGAAAGATCAACAGGATGCAGCAGAAGACAGCAAAGACAATGAAGACAGATATAAGCAATTTCCGATGCTGTATAATCTGCCTGATCTTTTCCTTTCGATATTCGGTGTTGATAAACCAGGGTATCTCTTCATCTCTATCCTAGGTAGTTTTAATATAACATCTCTAAAAGTATTCCAAGCTTTAGTAAATAAATTTGCAAGGTTTCTTTACTTCTTTTAAATTTAAGGAGAAGATCTAACATAGCGGACAAAACTAAGGTCAATAGCATTAGAAAAGAATTAACAAGACTGCACTTTTCTTTATGAGCTGACATAACAAAACACAATATTGAACCTAAGCCACTAATTTAACACAGAAGAATTACTGTATAATGGCAACAAGTGCATTGTAGTGGTAAGGTTTAATCTGGTAAGATAAAACCTTTGGTGTTATGGAAGTGCTCCTTTCCTCTCCCCTACATAGGCAGGAACCTTTGCTTAGTGACCAATGAGGGAATACACAAAGTCCAATGGATCAAAATCCTAAACAAAAATAACCCTTCTTCTTTTTTTCCCTTTAAGTTTATGTTTTCTTTCCAATCCGTGACTCCAAAATGCTAATGCAACAGGTTTCGTAATAAAGATTAAAACCAGAGAAAGAAAGCACAGTGACCTCAATTAAGGATAATAAAAACCCATAGAGCATAAGCACAATCCAAATTGTATATGTAACAATGGGATCGATATATCAAAAACTAAACCATGAAAAGTCTCAAAATTACAATCCACAGAAAAAGAAAAAAAAAAAAAATCAGCCAGAAAAGAGGGACTCATCAATTTCAATCTTCACCACCTCATTATCTTCGAACTTGTCTTTCTTGGTGGGTGCCGGTGGAGCATAAAGCCTCGGTGGTCCTCTACCCTTATTCTTATTCTTTGGCCTTGCCTGTGATAATCCCTCAAAAAACATAATTTTAGCGAAAAACACAACATCACAACACGAAAAAATACAAAACATAAAAAAATTGAACAAAACAAAAGGAGTTTATCAATGTAATAAAGTTGGAAATTTCAAAAGAGGAACAAGGGAACAAAACTTTACATTTCCAAATGAATGGTTGAAGCGCTTTCCCTTTGCAGTTTTCCTGTCGCCTCTGCCACAGTAAACTAAAAAAGTAGAATGGGGAAATGGGGTGTTAGAATTCACACATAATAAAGCAAAGTAATTGCAAAGTTTACATTTTTTTTTTTTTTTTTTTTTTTGGTTGGGTCTTTTAGTTTTTGTAGCTAGTACCAGAAAGGGTTGGTGAAGGAGATGATGAAGTTGCCGACGCTGAGAGCGATGCAAAGGGAGTGAACAGAGTTTGGGAGTGAGAGAAGGAAAGGTGAGAGGAGGAACTGTGCAATTGAATGGAAACTGGAGGAGGTGATGCTATCAGCATTGATGCCATGACTGAGGATATCACAAGGGATAAGGTTCGAGAAGGGAAAATGTCTCAATTTTGAACATAAAGTCATACTGTATAAAGTTACCCAAAAAAAAAAAAAGAGTCTGATAAAGTAATATAAGACAATAAAAATTAAGGAAAATAAAAAAAGAAGATTATATTTACCACAATTAAATTAAGGATTCTATAAGAGTTATGTTATAGGAAAAGTGATTCTGTAATGTTATAGATATTTGTTTTACGTGTCTTAATTTTTTTTTTTACTTCAAAAAGTGTGGGTCCCCAAAATATTGTAAGTGTAGAAATTTTGTGTGTGTCATATGACATAATAGATGCAATCATGCAAACCCCTTAAATTAATCACATTTTTAATCAAATTAATCACGTTAGATCAATTTTGGATTTAACGGTTAACCATCAATCCTATAATTTTAATTCTTTACTCTTCGTCCTCTCTCATCTTATTTTTGTTCTTTCTCTAGGTTTGCAAATTCCATTTTCCTTTTAAAAAAAATGCTGCTATGAAATGCTACGAAATCACAAACCCTTTAATAATGAAAAGGCTAGTTGGCCGGGGAAGATTATACTTAACACTAACTAAGTTAACCACATTTACAATAATATTAATCACCGTTAGATTAATTCTATATATAATGACTGACAATTAATCCTTATAATTTTAATTCTTTACTCTTCATCCTCTCTCATCTTCTCTTTATTCTCTCTAGGTTTGTAAATTCATTTTTCCTTAAAAATAAAATGCTGCTATGAAATGCTACAAAATCATAAACCATTTCAGATTAGAAAGACTATGATCAAATTATCACTGAATTTGATCAATTAAATTTACTATATTTACAATCAAATTAATCACTGTTAGATCAATTTTAAATTTAACGGCCAGACAATCAATCCTTATAATTTTAATTCTTTATTCTTCATTATCTCTCTATACTTTCTCTGATTTGCAAATTCCTTTTTCCTTAAAAAAAACAGTGTTATGAAATGCTACGAAACCACAAATCCTTTCATATTGGAAAGGCTATAATCAAATTATCATTGAATTAGAAAAAAAAATAAGTTTTGGATTGAAACAATAATTTTTTAGATTTGAAAAATTAAAAAAATGGGTTCGAGGTTTGAATCAATAACTGTCTGGATCAATGCGTCACTACAATATTTTTTGTTCTTTTTGAAAATATGATTGAACTTTAGTTTTGCAATTTTTTTTTAAAAAAAAAAAACTTGATAGTGCAATTGTTTGAGAAGGGATTGCGAAAAAGTTAAATTTCGTAATTTTGACAAAAATGTTTTTGAGAATTATGATGGGATTGTTTGGTTTCAAAATCCTTGAATACCATAAAGATTGACCAACTTATGGATCTACTACAACAAAGATCTGAACGCCCTAGTTCTTGTGGCGACAACCCACCCTAGAGATATAGCATTATGCTATTTCAAGGGAAGAGGCATTTTGCAAACCTAGAGAATTAGAGAGGAAGTAAAGAATCGAAATTATAAGTATTGACTCTCAACCATTAGATATAAAATTGATCTAACCATTATTACGTTGATTATAAAACTTAATGATGGTAAGTATAACATTCCTCAATAAAAAATAGGTAAATTCAAGAACTCTGTTACAAAGGGTTTTTAAAATATTGTAAACTTTAAATTTCAGAGATAATTCCAACTTCATTTTCACCGTAAAAAGAGTAGGAAAAAAATGCTAAATTCCCGAGAAAATGTCTGTATTAACCTCAGATGTAAAAGAAAACCCAAACATATTAAAAAAAGAAAAAGAAAAAAAATAAAACCCAAACAAAAACCATGATAAAAGTTCCACCGAAGACATCATACTTTTTTTTTTTGGATACAGAAGACACCATACTTTACATGTTCCACCCATTTCTTATATTCCCTACTTATTTAATTTTGCTACTTTTACTATCTTCTCGTCACTATTGATTCATAAACAAAGGTGATAAATAATTGATGTAATTAGATGAAAAAAATAAGGGAAAAATAAATAAAAATATTATTATATTTAAAATCGTTGATTTGAATATAATTAATAATAATAAAAAAGTAATAAGGGTAAAAAGATTAAATAGATTGAGAATATAACAATCTCCAAATAATTACTATTTTATTTTTTGGGATCTTCATAAATCGGTTTGGTCTAGTTTTTAAAGCCCAAATTCAGATTTCTAAAGACCAACTTTTAATCTTAAAAATAATCAAATCAATGATAAAATGAGAAAACCACTATTCTTTTAGCAATCAAATTATGAGAATAATCCAAATTTCTTCAGTTTGGTGTTTCATATGTAATTAGAAGTACTAAGACAAGTTGAACATGTTTGGTCAACTCAACTCGTTTACCTTTTCGTTTTCTTGGGCTGACCCTTTTATTTTGTGGGTTAAATGAAAGTGGGCCAATTAACTCATACCCATTTGGTTACAAGTCATGATGAGGCAGGACAGTCAAGATTTAATAAAAAATGCCTAATTATGTATAAAGAATTATTTCAATTCAAAATTTTAAGATATTCAGTAAAAATACTTTTAATAGTTTATATTATTTTTTAACACACCCTCAAACAAGAGTCTCTTGAGCTTAAAGTATGAATATTATACAAGTCTAATTTTTAGTTTACTTTTTATGTCTTTTATTTAATTCCATTAGAAAGTGAGGGGTGATAAGATCAAACTTGGTATCAAAGCCGTATATGGTTATAGAATCCAAGTTGTTGATTGAAATAAAGAAATTGGAATTTTTTCTCATAAGGTTGAAATCGCTACTTTGATAACTCTTTCCATTTTATTTTTTGCTTGAACAAGGACTAGTGGGTGATTGCTAGTTTCTTTCGGAGGATCAGAACCAGCAGTGGAGGTTGACTCGCCGTGCATATGAAAAAAAACTTTGTTAATATAGGTAAAATTTACTTCTGTTATCTCATGGATTAATTTTTGACTGTGGCCGAAGGACGCCTAAAAGAAACTCCAAAAAAAAAAAAAAACCAGCAGTGGATTCATTGAATATGGTATTTCTGGCCTTTCTATGCTAGTTTTCTTCGTCAAAGGAATTTCACAAGGGTGAAAAATAGATCATTTAATTCCTATTTGAATAAATGTGTGTATTAATTTAATGATGCAACATAAAAAACAAAATCGGTTTCAGACCAGTTTTTAATCTCTAGCTCTGAACCAGTTCATAAAAACCAGAATCGATTTGGGAAAAAGCAAATTTATTTTATTCAGCATAAAAAACCAAATCATGTCGACCCCTAGCCAGCCACGGGACACACATGTCTTCCCTCTTCTAGTAATTACATTGTTTTTTCAACTCTCGCAAATATACACATTAAACAACACATTCACACATAAAAGGCTATGCTTGCGTTCTTAATTTACACATTTTAGTGAAGTTTTCACATGTGTATTTAAAAATAAATTGAGGGTCGTTGTTGCTAATGAAAATTTTACCGTTGTTTTCACCCATGTATTAATGAATTAATTGAATCAACCATGGTCTTACTCATATTTTATAATGCAATTAAACTAGGTCTTTGTTGAAATTGTGAGACTTCTGGACACTAGGTTTGGTATACTATTATTTTGTATCTACAATTTTTTCTTAAGGATAAACCAGAAATATTCTCCAGGTGAGACAATCCTGTTCTGGACGGGTCTATGATTAAGACTTTAAACCACGTGTATTCTTCACGTGATGTTTTCTCACGTGTCTATAAGATTGGAGTAAGGGTTATGGGCTTACGGCCGATGAAATTTCACTATTGTTTTCTCCCGTTTTTTAAATGAATAAACCATTGTCTTACTCATATTATACAATACAATCATGTGACTATGATATAAAATGTGATAGTCTAGGTAACATCGTACGTATAACCATTTCTCATGCTAAAAAGGAGTGTAAAAACCATTAAAGCTTGATAAACATCTATATGTTGCTGGACATTTGTGCATATCATTTGTAATTAGGAATTGCAATTAGGATCATTTGTTTTTACTTTACGGAGACTATCACATTTTATAGCATAGTTACATGATTCTATTGTAAAATATGAGTAAGACAATGGTTTATTCATTTAATTCATTAATACGTGGGAGAAAATAACTGATCCTACTTGCAAAAAGGAGTGTAAAAACCCTTAAAGCTTCATAAACATCTATATGTTGCAGGACATTTGTGCATATCATTTGTAATTAGGAATTGTAAGTAGGATCATTTGTTTTTACTTTTTGTACATGTGCAGTTATTTCTTTTATTTGTTGTTCTCTTTTCTAGCTCCACTTTATATTATCGAATACCCATATCAATCCATAGTTCTCACAAAAAACTAACTGAATTAATCACTCAATCAGTGCCAAATGCTTCATTAAAGTTTAGACGGACACCAGTGTGCAAACTTGCACAAAAGTAAGGCTTTGCCAGCGCGCTATGCTAAGTGTAATTCACAGGTCCTCTAATGGTGTTTCTCTCGAACACTTAACCACACAAGCAATTCTCTGAATATACCTCTTTGTATTACTGATTCTGCCAAGTGCTATTTTATAAGAGTTACAATGTGCTTTTTATAAGCAACAACAAAAGATTAAGAATAATAATGACTAACATAGGAAATCTAAACATATTAATTATCCATTAACATATGCCTAGGGACACACCATAAAACAAAACCCTTCATATTTCTATTTTCTTTTATTTAAATTAAAGATTAACCTAACAAAACTCCCCCTTAATCTTTAATATCTCTATCGTCCTTCATGCCCATCTTCTTCTTACAATTTTCTAACAACAACGTCGGTAGGGGCTTTCTTGATCTCGGCTTGCAACATAAGTGAGCTCCACCTTTCCTTCTTTTACTTGATCCCGGATGAAATGGAATCTGACATCAATATGCTTACTTCTTTCATGATTGACCGGGTTCTTTGCTAATTCGATCGCTGATCTGTTGTCAACTCGAATCTCGGTTGGGCCGACTTGCTCTTGCTCCAGCTTGCTTAGTAAATTCCTCAGCCATATTGCATGGAAAACAC